ATGCAGGAAGACAATATTCGCAGATGATATTTTCTTTAACACAATAAGTGACTTAGGGACAATAAAACACAATATGTAATATGTATTGCTAGACACTATAACTGAGATAACCGTTGATAATTGTCACTATACAAATAAAACATAAACCGTTCTGACATATAAAAAAAAACATTGAAAGAGGAGAAACGTTGGTTACTTTCATACAATTATTGAGAGGTTGCTCAAATTCATATTCGAAAAACATATTATGTCGCAAAGGTTATTTGATATGATGGATTTTACTGTTGCCAAGTCACTAACATATAGTTTTATGAACAATAACTACGGTCATTGATGCATCGGGTGATATGAATATCAATAATTCATTTTTTTTTTTAATAATTAACCAAAGATCCATTTGTATGTCAAATTCACGGACATTTCGTTTATTCACTGTCAAGATGAAAAACTCATAGAGTAACAGTTTGGAAATTAAAAGAAAACACCAGATGAATGATTGTCCAATGATCGTTCTTCTTAAATGATAAAATATAAAGGATGTCGTTGTAAAATCTCTTTAGTAGTCGAAGACAATCCGTTCTTTATAAATGGTTATTGAATTGAAAACAAATATATTTCTATTCGATGCTACTATCTTCAAAGGCTACAGTTTTCAAACGATGCTCAAAACTTCAAAGCTCGATTATCGATTAGGAAGAGACAAATCAAGATAACAAACAAAAACTGAGGGAATCGAATGACCTTCAAAGGGAGCGACACCTGGTGCGTCGTCATGGTAATCATCTTCTGCTATGCATGTATCACCCGCCATGCGAAATCATATTCGTGTTATTATTGGAAATAAGACACTATCTGTACAATTACAGATCAGACGACTATACTGGTATTTAAAAACATGTCGCTAGTGAGTTGAGACACTGACACATTATATCGGTTAACCTATTCATAATGGTGACCTTAAAACATATGTAGTGTAGATTTCAGTCATTCTTACTCATAACTCTGTTAGAGCAGTTTTTGTGTAAGTTAACAATTCTTCCCCGGTATCTTTTTTGAAAAAGTAGCCTGTGCATGTCTTTGTAACATCGTGTTTATCGTAAATGCGAGGTGTACTCTATGTCAATATGACATCATTACTAGTATTGACAGGCTCTTGGTTTTTTACTTTTTACTTTTCATTTGATGTCCCTGTTTGTAGCTTCCCAATTATCTAAGTATTTATTCATTCTGTGTTGTTTTTTTTATTATTTGTGTGTTCCAAAGGTAGGTAAATCGTTAAACACTATAACTGTATTTGTAATAGTTTTTACCAAAGCATTTATTAATATAAGTAGGTCTATAACTAAGAACTTTTTTATGTTAAGCTTTAGTAAAAAGGTTTTCATTTTATCATGCACATATTGCCATTATGATTTCTTTGTATTATTTGTTTAAAAATAGAGAAATTTTGCAATCAGAATTCTTACGCCCTGATTTAACGTCGACTGCAATATAATGAGGATTTTATCTGTCCTTTTTATATAAGCGACTTGCTAACCCGAGTCTTCCGATAAATGATAAATTGGTAAATGGCTATTTTACGTCTTTGTCATATCCATGAAACTGTTAATGTGATATGTATATAACCTCTTTTGTACAAAATACACATGCTGTGTTCAATAACGTGCTAGTTCAAAGTCTTCAGTTTAACACGACAGCATTTCCGCACACCTATTTCCGACTCTGAGTGGCCTATTATTTTTTCCTTTTGATGGGTCAGTCATATTTGCCTCATAGTCAAATGACTTATCTGACAGTACTGTTGCAAATGAGAAATGTAATGTGAAACTTAATCACTGATTTTGAAAATGATACGCAATCCCCCATTAAAAAGGTCTCCGAAAGTTGTTATATTTGTCAAACTTTGAAACTTTGTGGTCTTGTGTTCACTATGATGGATGGATGTTTACCAGCCAGTGGCATATTAAATGCATATTCAAGATGATAAGGTGATATGAATATAAACCCTGCTTTGTACTAGACCGACACGCGGAGTCGGATTTTTTAACGTGTTAGTTCAAACAATTCAAAAGTACTATACTTAGAACACGTAGAACACTGACTAATCTTATCGTTGATAAAAAGATTAACCCTTTCAGTGGGGAATCTAGTGAAAAAGAACAAAAGAAAAATACCTCTTCTTATGATAGAGTCAAGAAAATCAATAATAAAACAATGCCGGTGACGACACCGATCAAAAGTTATTTCAAAAAAAACAATGGAAATTATTTGTTAAACTGTGTTATTAGAAATACACATGCAAATAAACGATGTTTTACGTTCAGTATTTATCGAGATACTTGCATTAGAAGCTTGTGAAACTAAAATCTAAGAAATGTCAATCTTTGCTGTATATTGATAAAAAGAATTGGAAAAAATCATGTACATACAAATTTTAATGATCTTTTTTCGAGTACACCGTCCTGCTGTTGACACATGAAAATTCAATATGGAAATAGTGTCTTTTCATGAAAATTACAATATAAAAGTCTGTCTGTGCAGGTTAAAAAATTAAAGATAAATATTCTTATAAAGTAGGCATCTTTTAACTATTTTTTATACAATTTTAAGAAAAGGTCGACTTGATTTTTGTACATGTCTTTGCGGTCTTCTCGATCTAATCACATGCAATGTTCACATCGGCATAAGGTCCGTTTGAATTTGCTTATTAACTTAATTTCAAACTTTGCTGCATATAAATCGATATCTTTTGATTTTTTTCCTGTGATCTACCTGCATATATATATATGTTAGCGGCAATAAGTATAATTAGGCATTAAGCTTAAATCCAAGGTAATAAGCTAACGCCTAGGCATTAAGTTATTGCCTGAAATTTTCAGGCATTAAGCTTATTTCCTGAACTATAATGATGATTATTCAACTTATTGCCATATATCATTTCAGGCAATAAGTGAACTTTGGGATTTTTGTTTTATCTTCCAAGAAGATATACAATTGATAAAATATTCTTGATTCAAAGTATTTTTCAAATTATATTCCAAATATTAATATACACTTGGTATAATTTAACAGATTTTACAATGATATTTTTTTTTTACTTTTAACTTTTAGAATCCCAATAAAAGACGGCAACTATAGACTACTACAATTAAAAAGTATAACATTTTTTTACCTTCGGGGACTTTGACATATTGATAAGAAGAGTAAAGGAAAATGATGAGAAAAAAATCAAAATTTTTTTTTTTCTTTATCGTGGTACTTTGGAAAAGGAACATTTAATATTTTTCATGTTTGGGCCTTAATTTTATAGCTGACTACATGTATATGGTGTGGGTTTTTTTCTTTTTGCTGAAAGCCGTAGTGTTGGCTATAATTGCTTACATCAACTTCATTCACAGGTCATAGCGAACGAGACCGTATGATTTAAACAACTTAATAGTGACTCTGTAAAAGTAAAATAACAAAAAAATACCGAGCTCCAAGGACAAAAGGAAAACAACGGTCATATTCCTGACTTGTCACAGGCATTTCCTTATGTAAAAAATGATGGATTGAACCTTGTTTAACAGGTAGCTTAGATTCTCACGTGTATGACAGTCACATATAATTTTATTATATTGACAACAATGTTTGAGCAAAACAGACATTTAGGTAAAAAAAGTCAAAAATTGGGTACAACAGTCAACATTGTGTAATAATCTAATTCACTATAAAAAATAATAACAATATAAAAACAAATTGGCATATAGACACTTTATAGACAAAGTACATAAGCAAAAATGAAAGACAAGAATACAACAATGTCAATATAAATATTTCTTCTGATTCAATGGCAACGCAAATATTTCCATCGAACAATATCTTACACTTTCGGAAAATTGTAACATGAAGAAAAAGTATCTAGGGAAGGGAGAGTAGTGAAACCCATTTTATCCAAAGAGTTCAACAGTAGAGGACAGGTGGATTTCCAATTAAACCAAAATGGAAACTATAAATGTATTATAGTGTACAAAAAACTGACAAAAGTTTTTAACATTAGATTTTGTACGTCAACATGTGTTTAAATAAAGGTGACTTTTGTTTTATTTAAGGGTTTCATGTTTTTACTGTTTTTAATTTTTAGTGCGCCCCATAAACTGCATTATCACAATGGTCGTGAATTTACAGCTTGGTTATACCCGAGTTTAAAAATAAAGTGGCCAGAACTGGTGACTTTATTTCAAGTTATTGATATTTTAAACTACAGTTCTTATCATGTTATTATGCACCAAATGTGTTTTAATTTTGAACAGATTTTCTTTCTTTTTTTTCATTTACTCGCATTTACATTTTAAGCATTAAGATTAATGCTTGGACACATTTTTCAGGACTTAAACTTAAATTCTAGGATTTAAGATTAATGCCTAACACTATTTAGGCAATAAACTTACTGCCTAGGCGTTAGCTTATTGCGTAGGATTTAAGCTTAATGTATAATTTCACTTTTTGCCGCTAATATATATACGGATAATTAGCATGTTCCAGAGAGGTAAACAGCCAGTAAAAAAATAAATTGAAGTTGGTACTCCAGGAATTTATTCGCATAGGAACATTTTAAACCAATTTTACCACAAGCTCCTTCTATTCTGCTGCACTCGTCGTTTTCTATTTACGGAGGGCAATGATAATGGGAGTTTTGTTTTTATTTCATCTTATTTCTATTTTTACTATTTACCAGAACGTTTTCTCGTGAATTCATAATTGATAGCGTCCTTGCTAAAATGGGACAAATATTGAAAACAACTAGTTTTCAGTGTTTACATAGGAGGTAATTTTGTGTCACTAGATTTCCCACTGGTTTGTTCTGACAGAAAACAAGGCCGAATACGATAGAAATGATTACAAATGGTGGTCGTAAAATAATCTCAAAGAACATACATAACTAAAGGGATATTTTACAAAAGGTTCTCAGATTGAAAACTGTGACATAAAGATTTGTAAAGAAAGATATTTTATCTTACCTTTTTCTTGTTAACAGCGCGAATGTCATTGTGTTCCGTTTCATTTCCAGGTACTTTGCTGCCCCAGATTTTGTGAGCTACGCGAAGGTAAACAATACTTATAATTGATAAAGGCACGACGTACTGTAACAAAAGTAAATATGTGAAGTAAAAACGAGAAAAATCCTTTGAAGGCCATTGGACTTTACAAATTGGTTTCTTAGCCCAATACTTTATATCAAATATTGTTATTACGTTGTAAAAAAGTAGGTCAGGCACACTCGACACGGTACCTATTGTCCAAATCATAAATAATACAATTATAGCAAATTTCTTCCTGAAACCAGCTCGCAAAGGATACATCACAGCAACATATCGATCAATGGCAATGAGCGTCAGCGTCAATATGCTAACGATGACGGACAGATTTTTTACAAACGTAGCTGTCTTACACATGAATCTCGCTACCACCCATCTTTGTAATAGAGCGGAATGAAACTGGAAAGGAGTGGAAAATATACCAATAACAACATCTGCTAAGGCCAAATTGGCAATAAAAACGTTTGTCACTGTTTGCATTTTTCGCCGGCTTGTTACAACAAAAATAACAAGGCCATTGCCAACTATAGCAATTAGGGATATAGAACCATACAGTAACGCAAGAATTGTAAGTACCCCTGTCGATACGGGAAATATGGCCTTTTGTCCGGATAAATTACGCCAAGATGCCAAATATTGTAATTCCGTATTTGTAAGATTTTCACTAAAGTTGTACAAATTAAGAACTTCATCAAATTCTGCCATCTTAAGTAATTAATATATTTCCATCCAAGTTTATTTAGTTTATAACACTTCGCTCCTTGCTTTCGTTATAGTCTTTAACTTTAACAGATTTTGCTGCCTAGAATACACTATGAAAATCAATACTGGAAAATACGTCAATCAAAGCGTTGATCCAATGACAATTTTTAACATAATGTGCAAATTTTGTAGAAGGTTGTTTACTTTAACATGCAAATCGATATTAATTGATTCGCATGACTTCTTTTATATATGCACGACAGATGTTGACATAGGATAACATTCACCATGTTTCATGTCCATGGGACGTAACATCCCATTCAACTTTGTATTACTAACATATAAGCAATAGACGATGTTTCATTATTTTAAATCATCAATACACGGCTAACATCGGTTATGATTTATAAAACACCTGCAACGTATTCCTCTGTAGTTTATAATGTTAAAATTGAATGAAAATTTTGGAAAATAATTTCGTTTAAAAATCTAGTTAACTATTGTTGTATAAAGGAACGTGTCTTATCTTTAATTTTATAATCATTTTTTATAATTTTATTTAGTTTTAAGTAATTTTTCACATTTGTTGATTTGAGATTGATATTATCCTTAAAAACTAAATTATTTTTAAAAAAGCTGTGTTTGTCATGGTGGATTATAATGAGCAGGTTTGGAAATAAGTGTTCAATTTTCTGGATTCTGAACACAACATTCATGTCTTCGTACAGCTTTTTTTTAAACGTATTAAAGCAAATCACAACTGGTGAAGACATAAAATTAAAAAAAAAAAGTTTGCTGTTGTACATTCTTAAGGATTATGAGTAAATGCATTGTCCGAACCCCCAATATTAAAATAAAGTCACACCATTGGTTGAAATTCCATTGATTGAGATATTTTCAACCAATCAGAACGCTTAGGTGTATGCTTTCGAAAATATTACCCAGAATGTTTTCAATTCTGAAACGGCAAATTAAAATTACTTCATTGTGTATTAGGCACTCAAAACTTCATTTATTTTTTTGTTTGGGTTTGGGGAATATCCAAATTAGTATTAAAATCGATATTCAGCCGATTTTTACGAGTTAATGAGAAATGAGAAAGTAAATTATTCTTACTGATTTGAATGTCGTGTACCCTTATTTGTCAAGATCTCCCTAGGTAATAGTGATAATCTTGAATAATCCCTTCGGATAAATGTTGCCATAAAACTTTTTAAAGACTAACTAATAACAAAATCTTGAGTTCCTTATAAACATATGACTTTAGAACACAACTATGTATTTATACATAGTAAACAGACAATTGTAAAGTAGTAGTTTTTATCAACCATTCAGGTGACATTTTACTTTTTCAATTTTTTATTTGTAGTCTCTTATCATGATTATATTGCCGTTACGTGCTAATACGTCATAGATCATGCTTTACAAATGATATTCCAGGAGTAAGTGCACAGGAAAAGACCTATTAAATAAAGATTAGGAATTCCAATAAATGACAGTTCACATATTGTTCTTAATATTTCAAACGTCTCTGAACGAGAAGGAAGGAATCCTTGCCGAACAAACGGAAAGGTTACTTTTCTATATTACTGATACACATTTCAGAAACCGAAAAGAATGGACATTCTTAACCAGAACCAAAAGTTTGAAATGCAGCTAATTATATTTGTCTTTCGGATACAAATTAATTCATCTCGATTACCAACCTTTTTCGGTGCAAAATTTTATAAACACATTTAAAAGAGTTAGAGTTATTTTCCCCTGAATTCATTTCACACAAGGGTCATTTCCATATAGTCCCTCAATTATGACTTAAAAGCATACTATTACAGCGCAAGTGCGTGTACTTTAAGGTTTTAACTACATTATGACCTATTTCCAAACAGATAATTACATCATTCGATTATGATCAACTTCAAATGAATTCTAACAGGCCGGTTTATTGAAATCGATTTGCTTTGTATTCAATTATAATATATGCGAGCGCAAATTATAATTGGTTATCAACATCAATTCAATTATAAAACGATGCAAATGTTCATTTGAATAGATTATCCAGACAAAGGCCTTTTTGACAGCTGGTTTAGATACGTAAAATTAAACATGCATGTTTTAAAGTACTCAGCACTCCGTAGCATAACCTGGAACTGTGGTGAATTTTGTATGAAGAAATAATTTTTAAAAGCGAGCTTGAAAGGAGTTATATAATGGTAAAATGAAAATAATGCACTTATCTAAATTTCATACTAAGTTGAAACACAGATACAGTGCATTGGGCAACTAATTCATAATGTTGATCATAAAGCTTAAAAAAGAGGGACGAAAGATACCAGAGGGACAGTCAAACTCATAGATCGAAAACAAACTGACAACGCCATGGACAAAAGTAAAAAGACAAACAGACAAATAAATGTACAGATGACACAACATAGAAAACTAAAGACTTAGCAACACGAACCCCAACAAAAACTGGGAGTGATCTCAGGTGGTCCGGAAGGGTAAGCAGATCCTGCTCTTCATGTGGCACCAGTCGTGTTGCTTATGTTATTACAAATCCGGTAAATAGTCTAATTCGGTAGGTCAAATTCGTGAAAAGGGAAGGGTATTGTAGTTATGACATAAGGAAAATATCCGATATCATCTGTAAAACGGTAATTCCATAACGGTCAACCAACTCGTGATGGCGTCCGTAAAATGTACGAAGGGATGATTTCAACTTCACCATTTTGAACTGAATGTATGTCATTCCAATGATAAAAGAAAAACATATATAATGAAGTAAAACTAAATTAGATTCGTTGCAAATGCAAAAAAAAATAGATACCGGTCTTGTTAATACCTACAAAAAAATTCTCAACATGTCCCAATGGCACATGCGACATCACCTTTTCGATTTGGACGACATTAGTGACTTGTCTCTTTTCAAAACAAATGGGGAGTTTGAAGTAACAAGGCAGCATTGGTGTAGTCGATTAATTTTTTTTCAAGCACCTGTTCCAAATTTCTTTATATATTTCCTGTTTATCTGCAAATCTATAGTTGTTTTCCCCGATTTTGGTAAGTAATTCGTATGTTTTTTACTTCGGATACGGCAATGTCATATAGTACACTTACTCGTTCTCTCTCGTGCCATGACTTGTTCTCTCTCTTTCACTCACTCTTTTTCTTCCGTTCCGTTTATTTATTCTTTCACCCATTCATTCCCACTAATTTGCACACTATTCTTCACTCGTGAACACACTCATTTCCACTCGTTTTCACATTTACTGTCACACTTTCATTTTCACTGACTTGTTCACTCACTTATTTTCACTGACTTGTTTACTCAATCATTTTCACTCGTTCACACACTCATTCTCACTCGTGTACATACTCATTCTCAAGCCTTCATTTTCAATGTTTTATTCCCACTCGTTCACACACACACACACACACATCACTCGTTCGCACACTCATTCTTACTCGCGCACACACTCATTCTCACTCGTTCACATATACATTTCGCTGTGTTGAAGACCCATTGGTTCCCTTGGGCTGTTTTCTGCTCTCTAGTCGGGTTGTTGTCTCTATGACACATTCCCCATTTCCATTCTAATTTTGATCACTTGTTCGCACATTCATTATAATTTGTTCTCGCACTCATTGTCACTCGTTCACACAAACATTCTCACACGTTCATTCTCTCTCGTTCACACACACATCAACCGTTCATTCAGACATCACTCGTTCACACACTCATTCTCTCGTGTTCACACACTCATTCTCACTCGTTCATACACTTATTTTCACTTGTTCACACACTCATTCTCACTCGTTCACACACTCAAACTCACTCGTTCATATACTGATTCCCACTCGTGCACACACTTATTATCATTTGTTCACACACTCATTCTCACTCGATCACTCTCCCGGTGAATTCTCCGTCTATATCAACCACCCCGGGGTTCTTTTCCGGTACGTGGAATAAAACAGTGACACCAACATGACTATGACAGTTATGGAGTCCTACTCCTTCGGGGAGGTCAATGCCACAGTCCATCGGGGAGGACACTTATGAGTGGCGGATCATGTCAGAATAAGGATGGTTCTAAAGGGAAACAATTAACATCGATATATTTTCAACAAGTACTGTTAATTCAGAAATTATTGTGTGCATTTATTTTTGCGATATTTCGAATGGAAAAAATTGCGAGGTTAATTATTGCGATTACAAAACAATCTGCATAAAGATCTATGTTTCAGTTATCAAAATGCGAGTTCTTATTATTGCGATACTCACCCAGTCGCATTATTCGTATTTATAATAAAAACCTCGCAATAATTTCCAAATTTACATATACTTTTATAAAGTATCGGTATACTTTTAACAAGTATCAGTATACTTAAAAAACAACATTGATATACATTTCACTAGCATCAGTTTACATTTAAAAAGCATCGGTATACTTTTAGCAAGTATCAGTTTTACCACATCGTAATAAATTTACCACATCGGTATAATTTGCACAGGTATCATTATACTTATAAAAACGCATCGGTATACTTTAATCTGGTATCAGTGTATATATAAAGAACCATCGGTTTACTCAATCTAGTATCAGTGTATATATAAAGAACCATCGGTATACTTTAATCTAGTATCAGTGTATATATAAAGAACCATACCGGTATCAATATACTTATAAAAAGCATCGGTATGTATACTATACATGGACATAAGGGACCTTTAATTGCCAAGGCGATTTTTCTAGTTCCTTCCGAAAAATTGATGAAAATCGTAGTTCAGACAATATTTAATTGCATGTTTTGATATCTAGCACTCATTGCCGATTAGTTAACATAATTGAATAGTAGTTTTGACAAAAATAATGTCGCAAATGTCAGAAAAAATCCAAAATATAATGTCATATGTAAACAGCACAAACAAGATGGCCGAAGACAATAATCAAGGTGAGATATATTCGTCGGTGACACAAAAGACATTTGTAATTGAAAGTGTACTATCCGACGTCAAACCAGTATTTATAAAAGAAACTGGTCTTTTTGGATACACAAGACCCAATAAAG